TCTCTTCCAACTCTATGATTCTATGATTCTATGATTCTATGATTATTGATTTAAAGGAATATGCATAGTTAGAATGATTGATTTGTTGGGATATTTGCATCTGGCATGGTACTCATTTAGTAGGATGGCCTGTGTTTTTTTAAGCAATGCTGTTTTTGTTGTGGTTGTAGTTATTGTGTGCCTTCAAGTCATTTCCAACTTATGATGACTCTAGGTTGAACCTATCATGGGGTTTTCTTGACAAGATTTGTTCATAGGAGGTTTGCAATTGCCTTTCCCTAAGGCTGCAAGCATGTGAATTGCCTAAGGTTGCAAAGTGGGATTCATGGCTGAGTTGGGAATAGAACCCTGGACTCCAAAATTATAATCCAACACTCAAAACACTATGCCACTCTGACATTAGAAAGTGGAATATTTTTACATATTTCTTCCAGATGTAAAACAACAAGAAGTTAACTGCAGAGTTCATTTGGTCCAGACTTCTAAGGATTCTTTGAAAATTCAGCTACTTAAACATTAATTGTTCCTTCATTTTCAGCCACCCTTTTCTTGTTACAATGGAAAAGCCAGTTAGGGGTTTTTTAAGTTACACCTGCAACATGACAAATGGTACCCAAAAAGAGAAAAAGTCCTTTTTGAAAAGTTCCTGAAAAGGTTTAAAAGAATCACCTTTCACCTTACTCATTTTTTCCTTCCTGAATGTCTTTTGTTCTCTAGAAATATCAGAGCAAAGGGGAGAGTGGAAGGTCTTAGGTCAAGCTGTATTTGATACCTCATGAACTCCTGATCATCAGGAGTAAAGCTTTTTAGTTTTAATATGTGATTTTGCTGTCTGCAAAAGAGAAACGTTCAGTTTGCTTTGTTTTTTTGAGGAGGCATAAAATAACTTGCCGTATTTTCTGGCGTATAAGACGACCCGCATATAAGACGACCCTCCATTTTCCAGTCAAAACATAGAGTTTTAGCACCTCCACCCTCCTTATCCTTATACCCGACGTATAAGACGACCCCCCCCACTTTAACCACAGATTTTGCAGGTTAAAAAGTAGTCTTATATGCAGGAAAATAAGGTACACATTTTATGTATTTCAGTTTTACTTATTGTTATAAGGGCCAATACAGAATTTTTCAAAGTTCTTAACTGAAGAAGACAGGAGCTGCATGATTATAGTGAGTAGGTGAGGTAGGTTCAGAAGTTCAATAATTTCCTTCAATGTTCAGTCATGAATGCCACTGCTTATATAGCAAAACCGAGAACACCCAGAGGGTGGTGTCTAGAAACTATGGAGATTTGAGGACTAAGCATGTTCATTGACCATGAAATGTTGACTGACTATTAAGGAGGCACACATAGGAAGATAAGGTTCAAAATATAATATTTTGTTTCAGGCTCCATGTGACATACTGGGTGATCAGATGATTTAATAGCTAAAAAGATGAGGAGTTGTGACCTTGCCAAGTCACAAACTCTCAGCATTGGGGAAGGCAATGACAAACCTCCTTTCAACAAAGCTTGCCAAGAAAACTCCTTAGCCTCACCATAAGTCAGAAACAACTTGAAGGCACACAACAACAACAATGCATAAGTAAAGTGTAGGAAGTAGGACATAGCAAAGAACAGCTGGTTAGAGAGAAAGCAGGAAAAAGCATGAAATCTAGAACTATGTTACAATAGTCACATACTTTCCTGAGTAATTTTGTGTTACTTAATGATGTGCTTCTTTCTATATGCATCATTTCCCAATAAAATTGCAGTAAGAAGCCAATTAAGGGGTGCATTGCCACTTGACTTGTGCAAGAACACCCAATGAATTTCATTTTATATTCTATCTATATTAACTTGTCTATTTATTCCTGCATTCATGTTTGTGCTGTGAAGTGTTTGGAAAGAGCCTTGTAAAGAGTTATTCTCTGATGATCTGGGTTGATGCAGATTAAATCTGAAAGTTCTCATGTAGCAACAAAACAACAAGAAATCTGATATTTTAAAAACACTACATGATTTCTCTATTAAATTGCTTTGTTTCTATTCTTCATATTCACACTCAAATATCCTAGAACAGATAATATCACAAACTTTTAAAATGAATAAAATTGTTTTGTGGCATGTTTAGCACAAATTTTAGAAGTTTAGAAAGTACTGTGTATATACTAGTAAATCTATCTTTACACAATTATAGCACTATGATTTAACTTCCGTGTTTTCATCCTATGCTGTGTTTTGTAGTTTAGGGAGGGCTATTTAGACATCTGTAACCAAAGAGCACTAGTATCTCAACAAATCACAAATCCCAGGATTTTGTAGGATGCAGCACTGACTAAGTGGAACATGTCACTTTAACTAAGAAGTGTGATAGGGCCCCAGGACAACCATATTGTGTTATTATTTTACTCCACCATTGTATATAATGGGCTTTGAGCATCCATGGACTGTGGAATTTTTGAGGGGTTCTGGAACCAGACTCTAGCAGATACCAAAGTCTCAGTGTATAATGAAAGAGAATATTCACACGTGATAAAATGGGTGGAGTGGCCATGTATCCTGTCTTAGAAAGGATAATAATCTCTTTGAAAATTATGCATGCAGGCAACCTTTGTTTACTGGATTCTTCTGTACAACTCTGACTTAAAGAATGAATCTTAATCAGAAAGAGCAGGAATCCTGAAGATGTATATCAGAAGTTACACCTTGGAGAGCACACCCACCTGGGCTTGAATTCTATTGTTAATCTCTTTTAAACTAGGTCAGCTAAATCTATGCATATTGACTCATTACTCAGCAATTGATTGAATAAATCTACTCTAGTTGGAATAACTAATATGGTTCAGGTCCTGGCTAGTCTTCCCCACTGTAACAAGATGTACTATTTTCTCATTTATATTATAGGCCTAAATCTAATAGCTAGTACCAACTAAAGATGTACTGAATCATTGCAAACTTAGTAAATCAAAACTTATGTAAATCCCATGGACTGATTGGTTCTCCTCTAGTTGGGATTAGTGATTGGATTTATGCCAAAGGTCCAAAACACACTGCAGAAATAATCCAGTTTGAGCCCGCTTTAACTGTCCTGGCTCAGTGCTGGTGAGTTCTGGAAATTGTGGTTTATTGTTGCACCAGAGCTCTCTATTGGATAAATGCCTCTCAAAACTACAGTTTCCAGAATTCCCTAGCATTGAGCCAGGAGAGTTAAAGTGGTCCCAAACTGGATTATTTCTGCAGTGTGTTTTGGACCTTGTAACTTTTTTCTAAATGTGTATCTGTGCACATTTCATTCAGATCTGTATCTGTACCCATTGTTGCCATCTTAATATAGAGCATGTTCTTCCTTTATGGATGTGAGATAATGATAATCATAACACTGAGGGGCCTTTGCATTATGGTCTTGATGTTCTGCTTTCATGGTTTCACTAGCGTCAGTTGACCAAGGCATTTGCTGACTTTTCTCAACATTCTGTCAAAATCTTAGCTCGTAGAGAAATCACAACTACCTTACAAGACAGTCTCCTTCCTCTCTGAAGCCATTCTTGTACATTCACAGGGCAGCTGGAATTCTTTCTTCAGTACCTTGGGTGTGGCAAGAGGGCTAGGAGAACAAAATGGGGCCAGATAGGATTTTTCTCCCCTTTACCTGATTTCTCCTCCACCCCATATTGTGTCTAGGGGACTTCAGTTAGCTAAGGGTAGTGCCTATAAGTATACTGTCAATGGTAGGTAGTTGGGGGAGAAGAATATGAGTTTGGTGTATGTCTTGGCACCCCTTTTGGTGAAGGACTTTGGCTCTGGAATGGCCTCTATGGATCCTGACCCAGGAGGAGTCTAATTGTTTAATTACCCTCAGAGTTTAGATGTTTCACCCAAGGGAAGGCTGGGCATGTTATCAAGGCTTGACATGTGGCCTCAGCTGGACCTATATCAGGTTACTCCCAGTCCTTTCCAGGTTCAACATAAATTAAATTGGTTATAGTTCAAGTAAAGTGGCCCTTATTTAAAGCAGTCCAACTTTCTGTGGCTAGTTTCATTATTCCATAGTTGGCCATCAATGAAATGTTACAGTAAATGAAATTTTAACAGACAAACTGTGCCTTCTCTGTGTTGTGCAAATTATTTTTTGTGTGGTTGTGTGATTTGATTATGATTATCAGTAACTCTGAATACAATTGTGATTTTGTCAAAGAATGGGATTTAGATGGCTACTTGAGTATACTCAGTAGAATTTTTGACTTTTCCCCTTTGAACAGCAGATCCAAATGCCATAACCTGCTAATGACATTTTTCTCAGTTCTAAAGTTGACAGTTCCCTCAGGTCATGAGGCATGGCTGCTATTTGAGGAAAAAAACAACAAATAACTCCCTTGGATATGCAGAACTGATTGTGTGTTTAAAGACTCAAGTCATAATGATTTGTTGGGAATAAAATACTCCGTAAGCAAGCTTTTAAAACTAAATTTCTTACTGATTTTTCACCAGATGTTTACAGTTTCTAACAGCCTCTGCTGATAATGTTTATATGATCCATATTGAACTCTGATGGTGCACTGAGTATTTGAATTGCACGCACACAAAATTATGTGTACATACATTTTTAATAAATTTTGAATGCATAGTAAGCAATCATTTCTAATCAGAACTGCATTGTCAAAACAGTTATTTTTCCTACTCTTTTTTCTTATTGATTTTAGCATTTATGTTAGTGTGCAGTTTGCATCCTTTATTTTAACTATTCAGATTTTGACTTTTTGTTTTGCATTTTTTTCTTTTTTTCCAATTTTTGGACCGTTCTTTTTCATTTTTTTGGAAACTGCTGTTTTTGAATTCTCTTTTTTCCCTTTATTCTCCTGCTCACTCTGACCCCAGGAGCCAACACAAAGAAAAGCGCAGATGATATTACCAGTAATGATCGTGGGGAAGATGAAGGTATTTTTTGTTTTTTTCCCAAAAAAACAACTCAGCCCTGATATGCATGAACATGAACTTTCCCTTTCCTTTATTTGATCACACACATTCCAGTGTGCTGCTTTACTTTCTTTTTGTCTGGAATCTGAACTTTCCTTCCTTCCTTCCTTCCTTCCTTCCTTCCTTCCTTTTCTTTTTTCTTTTTTTTAAAAAAGCACACAATTTAGCATCTACATGACTGCAACTCCCTTTTGAGATAAAATTATCTGTTATCTGTGAATATATGTGAAGTGAAACAAGCATATTATTTACAACAAAATGTTTCCTTATTTCCATTCTGGAATTTTGTCTAGGAAGAAAAAAAATGGAATAGAAACCTTTGCATGTGTATCTATTCCTTTATCTCTTTGGTATATTTTGTAACATCACTTTCACGTTATTTTTCCTTTTCCTTACCCCATATAGTGGATGCAATTATTTCCTCTGGTGTTTGTTTTTTTG